GTATGGCTGCGGATACTGGAGGGGACATTTACGGAGACGATGAAGACGACGTAAAAATATACAAATTCCAACGGGCGCTCTACCCCGGCTCTGCGGCAGAGAAATGGTGGAAGGATTTGAAGGACGGAGATAAGTCAGACTTTGCGACGCTGGTCAAAGCTTTTGACGCAAAATGGCCGATGCCGCAGTTCATCTCGCGGCCACAAGCTCTCGTTATCAACGAGATTAAGGCCAACAAGCTGCCGTTGAATGAGGTGGGACAGGTGGTGAAGGACGAGGATGGAATGGAGGTGTTATCACACCAGGCATGGGCCCAGCGAACCTGGAAGCTGCTCGCCGACATCCCAAGTGGTGACTCAGGGACGCTTCTGATGGAGCACGTCCGAGACGGCCTTCCGGTAGCGCTACGACGACTCATCACGCCCGAGGCGAAGCTGGACTCGTGGGAGAAGTGGCTGGCGGCGGTTGAGGCTATAGATTTACATGCCCTCAACGACGTCCGCGAGGAACACGGCTTGCCCCGTGGCGGAGTGCTGGATACGGAGACATGGGGCTCACCCTCCAACGCAGAGAATGAGGCAGCGATCACCAATATTGCACAGCGGCTCAGAGTAACTTACATGCTGAGCCCACAGCGAACTCCACCACCACCACCTCGCCGCGTTACAACCCCATATACCCCGCAGGCAGCGCGGCTCTCTCAACCCGAGTTTACAAGCCGACCATCGCAACCGCGATACAACCCCCCAACCTATTCTTCTACACCTCCGCAGTGTGGTCCTCCGCCCCACATGTTGTCGAGCTCATTCGGGGGAAGCGCAACAATACGTCCGGGCAATCTATTCGCAAAGCACGTCTTCGCTACTCCAGGCAGCCCAAGCGCAGGCCGAGGAGACCCTACCAGTCTCGGCGGGGACCCAGCATGCGATGCCGAATTGGTGCGCACCTTGAACAGCAGCCCACGACTGTACGGAACGGATCCCGCCAGCGCACAGTGTTACACGACGGACATGTCGTCGTGGATGGCAGGCCCACGCAACTACGCCCTTTTCCCATTCTCCCCCGGTACACTGGCACCCGGCTCCAAAGAATGCTGGAACTGCGGTACCCTCACTTCCCCTCCACATGGTGCCAGCAGTTGTACATCTTCAGCGCGAGTTCCACGCATCGAATACAATATTCGCCGTTTCACGGTGATAGGCCTGGGATGAAAACACCCCGTGTTTTCTCAATTTTTGAACATGTTTAATATTATATAACGCGTGTTTGGACTAAGAGGAATAAAGGGACATCTCTTAGGATATATCTCAGAGGGTTAAAGCGTACCCGCGCTGTTAACTAAATGATGCGCGGAAAGCTAGACTCGTCTACGAATTATAATTATCCAGAAATGGGAAATTGGACACAGTAGTCAAGGATGGCAATCCCTCTTCTAAGTCTAACCGTTCTATCAATCGAACTGGGACCTAAAGGGACATCAAGGAACAAGGGATAATATGGATGGAATACTTCAGGCAGCGCGCCTAGACCAATATCAAGGGAATTCGAGTCGCGGAACGGCGAACCGAGGGAAACCGAGTAGCGGCAGAAGGATTGCCGGAGACGCCGAAGAGCGGATCATTGAAGGATCAGTGATCTTGAAGAGATTTCTCTACTCAAGGATGAATTAGAAGTTCTGGCAAGGACCGGAAGGATCTTACCTCGAGGCGAGGCTCGTAACAGGAACGTTCGTATCCTCGAAAGGCTAGTAGCGATGAAAGGATAGAAGCCGGTATTGAGTCAAGGATCGAGAGGATCCATCACGCACACGTGATCATCACGAGGGATCGACACGATAGATGCGATAACGAGTCCTCGTGTACTTACACGTTACTCGCGCGTGCAACCACGACACACAGGCGTGACTTAACAGCCTCGTCTGCTAAATAAGGACAATACACGTACTTGGACACGTAGGTAGATACCCAATTAAGATGTAAATATTTATTCGCGCGTAGTATATAAAGCCTGTAAATTATTAGCTGGGCTCCAGTGGATTGCTCCCTCCTTGATTGTCCGTGTAAGCTATCAGCTGCACGTTCAGTAAAGAGTGATATTATCCAGTGGGACAACCCAGGGAACTTAACTAGTTTTCTGTTTTGTTTTCAATCTATAAATTGGACTTGTGATTTGATCAGAGATTTGTTAAACGCGTGAACTAAGTGAACTTGAACGGGAATCAGACACGTGAAACGGAATTCTGAGATAAGGGAAACACGAGTACAAGGGATTAAGCGCGACTTAACAGTCTAGTGCCATATTCCATCGGATTGAAAGGAAACTTGAACCAGATAAATTACCCAGACTCCCCAACCAACCGACATTGCGCGAAACCAAGTCCTGAGTTCGAAAGGCTCAAATAGGATCCAGTCGCGCTAACTCAAAGCAAGTTTTATCGAGTCAAGACACCTTGAATTGTATAACATATATCCTTGGATTGAGGAATATAGTCAAATTGCCACAGTAGATACGTTACTGGAACCCCGACTCGCACGCGAAGCTGAAGTTGTGTGGATTTTGTTTGAAGGGATTTATTATCTCTACGAATAAAGTTATACAGTAAACCCATAGCAAGTGTTTCAACGGGCCAAATCCTTCACCCACCTGGACAACGCGCGGGCATCTCACAGATAAACGAACTGCCGTACGATCCCTTCGGCGGGTTTGACCCCGAGCAGGCTGTATATGAAGACGAACCGGGAAATGGGGAGGAGCTCACCTCTTGAGGGGTGGTGCAGCTCCGAGTTGTCAAAATCCCCCGGAAAAAAGACCATGGTTTAGAGTGGCGCCGGGACGTTACTAGATACACGCCGTTTGTATTGCGAGTGCCTACGAATACAAGCGTTATCCAGTATCCGACGTCCCTTCCCGACGCAATCTTTAACGTCAACACAACCGATCAAGCGACAATTGACCCGTTTCTTCAACGTATCCGGCTCATTGGACGGAGCGGCGCCACAGTACGCCTAACCGCGCAGGTTGATAACGGAGCAATGCGAAATTGCATTTCGCTGGCACGGTGGAAGCAGTATGGGCACTGCTTGGGTCGGCTCGTCCCGTCAAAGACGAGACTGAGCGTGGCGAGCGGCGTGAAGATTGCACCTGCAGGGCGATGGTGGGGTGAAGTTGCAGTGGGAGGGATCACTGTTGCGGCGTGGTTCGAGGTGTTCGAGAGCAACGGAGCGTTTGACGTTCTGCTCAGGAAGCCGTGGCTGCACAGCGTACGCGCCGTACACAGCTATGAGCACGATGAGATTCGCATCCGTGCGCATGGCGACGAGATGACACTGCGGAATGAACCGCGTGTGTCAATTCAGGACGGCGTCGAATATGAGGAGGGGCAGCCACAGGGAACAACAGAGAAGCAAGGAGCGGGGGTGGTTGGCGCGAAGGGGAGGTGCGCAGAAGCTGAGGGACCGGAATCAGTGCCGGTAGAAGTGGATGAGGGGCGGGCCGAGTCAGCGGCAATGGCGTTAGCGGAGGACGGAGGAGGCGATGCGGAGGCCGAGATAGCAGCATTGGGGGAGGAGGACGTAAGGGAGGCCGAGTGGACGGCGCGATGTTGTGTTGGGCTTGCCCACAAGACAGGATCAATCTGCCCGACGGTTGGCGGGACGTCGCTCCCGAATTTCAGTGCGTACATTTTAGCGACACAGTTTGTCGGAGGTTTACTCGCTGCCAGATTCCTGTTTATTTTGGTCGTTGCGATGGATGCCAATTACCGGATGAGGAATCGACTTCGCGTGAACGAGAAGGACGACCCACCGTTAGGGTCAGGTTGGGGGTATCTGGTCGAAGAGACGGAGTATCACGAGCACCTGTGGGGCTATGTGGGCGAGGAGGACGTGAGTGGATATTGATATCGCTCTGGGAAGGATTGCTAACGAGGAGCTAAAAGCTTAGATGAGTACCTGCGTCGCATTTCAGGCCTTACTACAAAAGGACACGCGGGTCACTATGGGCCTACGATGCTCAGGAATTGGGGGTGTGGTATATGCGCGACACGAGGTAGTGCGGCCTCAAGGGCTAGGTGATCTGCAAAAGGGTGAAAGGTGCGTCGCAGGAGCCTAGACCGGAGAAATGACTAATGGAATTCCTAGATATGCGAACATGGATTATATTTTACTCTCCGCGCTGCTGGGGGTAACAGCAATGTTTCTGGCAATATCGTACGATATCGCGTGCCAGTGGCGCATTAAATTCCCCCAGCGGATGAGAGAAATGCCGGAGCGACTACAGCTTGACCTCACGAAGATCACAGTTCTGTTTGCTCTACCAGTCTGGCATGCAGCCGCGCATGAGAGGAACTGTCAAGTTCAGAATTCTTTGTCTTATACAGCTGGCGTGGGGCGAACGGACGGAGAGGGGGTAGAACGTGTATGGTCAAGAGTCAATGGCCTGGGCTGGGCTACGAGGGATAAGGGGAAGGGGGGAAGAGCGGACGCAATTGAAGATGCGGTGGATTATCTTAATTTCGATAAGAACGTGAATCTGGGTAAGTGAGTGGGGAATCGTCTTAAGCGGTGTTGGCTGATTGGTTTGAACAGGGACTACGCTACCGCGGAAGCTGGTGGTGGCAATCGATGAACGAGACAGACAGATTGCAAGCTTTCGTCAGGTGGATGAAACATTGGAGACGGAGGTGCGAAAGGACTGGCAGAACATCATTGATTGCTGGCAGCTGGATCGTACAGCGAAGAACCCCTATGCAGCGGCTGAGGGTTCGCAAGGTGCGTAGTTTCAGAAGGGCAAATGGAGCGAAGTGTAATTATATTATATTTCAGAATTCTCGGCAGCAGCGATACGCTGAAAGGCTGGCTACTCTTTCAGATGTGATTCTACTGCTGTGGAATGCTCGCAGTCACTATGAATGAGCAAGCGGATATTACTAAGAGATGTTGGGTCCAGCTGCTGTGTAAGCGAGTGATCACACTGAACAACATAACACTGGTAAAGCGCCAGGCACTTTAGCTCAGTTGGAAGAGCACACTCGTGCAAAGAGTCACTAAGAGGACCCGGGTTCGAACCCCGGAAGAGCCATCTTTTGCACCTTTTCATGCATGGTCTCATTCCTGCCTTATCAACGCGTGAAATTGGCAAGAGAGGGATTGGAGGAAGCGTCTGTGGGGGAGGAAAGGCTCCATGCTACAAGCATGAGCACATTTATTGTGGCTGGATTACAGCTCGAGAAGGACCAGTAAGTGCATTGTTTGTTGCTCTCTGCCGATGATGACTGACGGGGAAGCAGGATTACGAATCCGACGGGAGCTCAAGGGGCGGCCGCTACTCATTGCGGATCAAACAGAGCGTGTTGCCCAGCTACGCCGCTCTTTCTTCGTGAAGTTGGGACGTTCCCGCTGTAAGGCTCCAGGAGCGCTTACGAGGGTCACTGTCTAACGGTATCCCTGGCGGGAGTGGAAAAGCCTTATTTTGTGGTAAAGACCCTTTCTTGAACGGTCAAGCTCGCAGAAAACTACAGAGAGTCGAATTCTCAAGCTCTCAGGCGTAGTTCTCTTCAATCCTTCGAAAACGAGAGGACTGGAGTCGACTGAGAGGGTGATCTGTAAAGATCAGTGGAAACAGCTGTATAAGTCAGAGAAGTAATGCCTCGCGCCTAGAGCCTCAATTAGAGCCTAGGCAAGGCAAAGATACGACTATCCAGCACCCGTGCCTCTCACAGAGCTTCGGAGTTACTCAACGAAAGCTAAGGAGGCGAATTGGGTGATTTGGTAGAGGTAAAGATGATAATGATCATGTGACCTGAGTACATGTGACTTGTAGCTAAAAGAGTAAAGAAAATACGTATATGATACCTTACAGAGCCCCCCACTCTTGAGCTGCAAGGAAAAGAACATGTGCGAAGGGAGGGAATGGCGGGAGAAAAAATGAGAGAAAAATTTTGCCCTGCACTGCACCTTTGAGAAGCCTCCATTCCCACTCCGCAGACTGCTATGCATCCAATTCCATCTCCAAGTCCAACACCTCTGCGGTTGTGCTGCGCTTCACCTTCGAGGTATCTCCATTCCGACTTCATGGGCTGCTCCGCATCCACTACGTCTCCATCTCCAGTGTCCCTCCGATTCCGCTCTAGGCCCTGGTCACTGCGCAACCAGTACCATACCATGCCACGACCACCTAAGTCGCCATGCTCCCCATCCATACCTATCCTACCCATAGTGCCCCCCACGGAAGTAGCCAAGTGTTAGGGCCAACGAGCTTGGGTGCTTACGTAACACACACGAAAAGCAAGCTAGCCCCATAGTCTGAGTCTAAGGGGTACGGGGCTGTGGTGGGCTGAGTGGTAGATGGGCAGGGCAAGTGGCTGGGAAAGAAAGAGATTTTGTAATGCTGTCGCCCCCCAGTCTCGATGTTGATTGAATAGGAAGAAACAATCATTTGTCAGGATTCGATTGCGGATAGAAATTGAATGAACTCGCCTCGCGGGGGTGATCGCTGCGATACAGACCCCCGTTGAGGCTTCGCATAGGCGTTGCCAGAATCTTATTTGCCCCCCATCCTCCATTTGCCTTTCCGTATCGGCTGGACGTACGCCTCAGTCAAAATTGACTTGTTTGTGAGGAAAGGATCCAGGAAGCGTCAAAATGCGTGTCGAAACGACCAACAAGAGCGGAGCTCGCATGGACGGGAAGGCAGAAGCTTGCGAAAGAAGGCAGAATAGTGCCATTTGAAACGATTTTGAGGTAACTCGATATCCAGGAGTTGGTGCAGGGATGACACTGGGGGCAAGCCACTATTTCCGGGCCCCGGAAATGTCCCGGAAATAGGCCGGAAATATAAAATAATCCTGAAATAATCCTATTATTTCCGGACCCCGGAAATAGTCCGGAAATATAAAATGTTCCTATCATTTTCCCATCATTTCCGGGGTCCGGAAATAGTATATATTCCTATCATTTCCGTAGAATATTCCTATTATTTCCGGGGTCCGGAAAATTACTATTTCCGGGGTCCGGAAATAATAGGAAAATAATGAACCAAACATTCCTTATAAGGCAATAAAAGTGGCCCCATGACCTTCTAGCATCCAATGAATCTTGCAATCCTAGGATTTACCCCTAATATGGGAACAATTCATCATATACTTTAAAAGGAAAGATTTTATTCCATTTACAATATGAGCGAGTCTAAACACAGCTATCCAGCTTCACACCCTTCGATAATGCTCACCTCAATGCACCTTGCTGCTGGGTATTTCAGAAACGGCCCAAGCACAGTGAATTTACAACAGCTGATAGGCCATAAGGTCTCACCAAGCCATAGTGAGTCGCTTTACAGACAAAATCAAGCACACTCTGCTATATGCCTATCATGCTCAAGGTAATGGGATATAAATGTTCCTAGCACACTGATCGCAACCTTTTTACTATAAGTAATTGAAGAAGTATTGAATTTGAAGACATCACAGCCTGCATGACACTCGAATTTGTACTTGTTTTTGCAAAAGATTCAAGAGAAACAATATCAGACAGGGTTTGAATACATCTATATGAGTAGAGCAAGTAAGATGATTGTTAATGAACAAAAACAGAGTAAATGCATTGAAGTTTGACTGCTTGCGTATTGTGCTTCTGGATTAGGAAGGTAGTAGTTTGTTTTCTGACCCAATTTAGAAGGTAGTGGTTTCCCAATCAGGAATCCTCCTTCAAACCTGACACAAATGGTCCTGCTTTGATAGAATGTGTCTTTGTGGTCTTTTGGTACTTGACCAAGGCAGAAAAGACAAATGCGGTATTTTACTGGGTTCATTTAGAACTGGTATAACGGAACTATATTTCAAGCCCTGTCAAGTAACATAAATTTACACCAAGATAGAAAAATCTGCTGGTTGAGCAGCAGGTCCAAATTGAAAATGTGCTGGTTGAGCAGCAAAATTCAACTGGCTTCGACCAATGAAATAAACGAAAACATCAAGTAACACATATACATGAACGTGCAACTAGCTTGCTGGTTGAGCAGCAAGTCTGCATTGAGAATGTGCTGGTTGAGCAGCAAGTTCATCTTGTTTTGATTGATGTATTGAAATGAACCATTCAGAGTCCACCACCTATGACTTAGGAAAGTGTAAGTATATGATTGCGACAATTCCCGAGGAGCTGGAAGGGAATACAAAGGAAACCAGTGTTGAGAAAGCCGGTGGAGGTGCAGCTTCCCTTTGTGCTGTCAACAAGGAGGCATGATCAGCAGCGGGGTGATGCATATTTGCAAACGGTGCCATTGCATCAGCCACTCCATCTCCAGCGGACACGTATCCGAAGTCCGTCATCAGCGAGTCATCGCCAGAGAACACAAAAGAGGTGTCATAGTTGAACGTGGGATACAACGGGAAAGCGTCAAGAGCATGTTGAGGAGCCAATGGGAAAAGGAAATCGAATCATCGACACCTGGCAGGGCGGAAGAAGACTGTGTAACCCCAGCACAGATTTTGGATAGGAATTCGTCGAATTACGCAATCACTGTTCCAGATCTGAGGCACCACCCTGCCGTTGATCCAACGTCCGGCACCCTTATGTTCAAGGTACATTGGTGCGGCAACTTGTCTGTAAGTCTTCGGCAGGTCCGCGGCGTCTATGTATCTCATAGACCTTTCGTTTGGATACTCCGCGGGCCTTCCTCCGACATTCCGTCTTGCTGAATTATGTCCATGGTGATGCCAGTAGGAGCTGTGAAGTCAATAGTTGATTCCCCGGGAGCCGTACTGGCGGTCGCAACTAAATTATCCGTGAGTAACAATACATGGGATAAATCAAAGACAGACATCCATCATTTATGTTGGGTTCCGATGCTAGCAATGTACCTAGTGAGTTCTTGAAAATAATGAAGATAAATCAAGACGTACATTTGTCACCAGCATCGGTATGAACTTGGGTAGTCTTTACCCGCCCACTGGAGAGAGAAGAAACAACGACTGGCTTGGTACTTTTGCGCTGAGTCATCTTATTACGCTTAGCCGCCTTCAACTCAGCCTGAAGCTCTTTTTCCATTGCCATTGATTCTTTGTGCATGGCTCGACTCGCATCGAGTTTTGCTTGAAGTTCAATGACTTGATCTTCCTGCTCGTGAGCTTCCCGAACCTTACGAGCTGCACTCGATGCACGGCTGTTGTTCCGAAGTAGACGGTGATATTGGGTGTTGTTGGTGTTAAGTAGAACCCCAGAATTAGTCAAGATCTCAATTTACGGGCGGTTTTGTAATCCAGTTTACGTGAACTAGGAATGGTAGTAATAAGAGAGAGACTAATTGGTATATAAATACAAAATGTACCCTTCCATACCATCCACAAGCGGAAGATTGATCACTGTTGCCCTGTTTGTCCAAACGTGCATTCCTTTGCCAATATTTGTATTACTGTTGTGCGGTCCCAACGATGGGGCAAGATGTTGGGTTGAGATTTGATCATGCATTTCGTGATGTATTTACTGCTGAGCTTGTGGCCCCACGAATCTGAACTCTAGTGAGCGAGCGAGAATCACAGTGGAGAATGCGTACTGTACCGGCGTGTATGGTAGCAACCACTGGATGGTGTGTTACGCCCTCCTTCGGCCAAAAGTTAGCAACAGTTGCCTTTTTAGGCGTTATAATTACCAAATATGGCAATTGACGGCGAAGCCGGCCCGAAAATTTTGTCCAAAAGGCGGTTTTCGAGCGTTACACAGTGAATTTAGGCAACATTTTGAAGCTGTGTTACGTGTTACGGTTGCTACCATACACGCCGGTACAGTACCTGAAATCTTCTTTATCCCCAAACCGGCGACAAACTGAGTGAACTCCACCCCCGCCTAATGGGATTTGAGATGCTGAAAGTTTTGGAGGCACCAAAAATCTGCATCCGATACCATTCCCCTGAAGTCCTTGATTCCGCTGTTGAATTTCAGCTCTCAAGAACGGCGGTGTCGTAAAATCAACTCACCAGAGAACGTGAACGGAGCAGAGCTTGACAAAGCATGTTGCAAACTCCGCCGGGTTTTCAGTATAGATTCCGCTGTACTTGGGCTGGTTAGTCTTAAGAAGAGACCACGATG